GCCTGGTGTCTCCAGCTTTTTGCCCTACTTCTTAAGTTCCTGCTTCTTGGCCTGCCTCCCTCCCATCCAGCAGCCCCCCCCAGCATGTTCTGTTCCACAGGTAAAAGCGGAGGTCCTGGCACTCTCGTGTGACTTCCTCGTAAAACCACTTGCAGCCATACATAGTTTGGGACACTCGGGCGGCACAGTTGTAGCCATTCCTGTATGAAAACACGGCGGGTCCTCTGCCCCGAGATAAGGAAAGTTAGCTTTTTTTTAAGTAGGCAGACTCTGAGAGGGTAACTCCCCACCCCTTCTGCAAAGGGGTGTCCAGTCCTCCCAGATGATGGCTAGGGCGCGAGGAAGCCAAGGAAGAAGAGCTGCCTGGCTCAAGATCCTGACCCTTCCTTCCTCCCTCTTTGCTTTCCCCCCATCCAGTCTCTCCTGCCGTCTGTCCTGGGAATCCCTCCCCCAGCGCCATTCGTTGCCCATTGGTTTCCAGTGTAGTCTTTTCTCCCAAATCAAAAGGATTCCTGTTGGATCGCCCGCTATGCTTTAGGTAGCGAGCAATGGCTCTTCCTTTTGCAGGTCCTCTGTAAAACTGATCCTTCCTCCCTCTTTGCTTTCCCCCCATCCAGTCTCTCCTGCCGTCTGTCCTGGGAATCCCTCCCCCAGCGCCATTCGTTGCCCATTGGTTTCCAGTGTAGTCTTTTCTCCCAAATCAAAAGGATTCCTGTTGGATCGCCCGCTATGCTTTAGGTAGCGAGCAATGGCTCTTCCTTTTGCAGGTCCTCTGTAAAACTGATCCATGTTGCGCCATTCGTTGCCCATTGGTTTCCAGTGTGGCCTTTTCCCCCAAATCAAAAGGGCCGTCTTATACACGGAAGTAAGCTGAGGAAAGAACCAAAATACGTGGAGGGGAAAGCAGGGATCAAAGTGATCCTGCAGGGCTTTGATCCCTGCTTTCCCCTCCACTTGCTAAGCCCCACTTAGATTTCTTAATTTTGGGTTAGAAAAGTCGAGGGCATCATATATATGGGGGTGTCTTATACACACAAAAATACAGTAATAATAGTAAGCAAAATTTCGAGGCCCTAAAGGCAGTTCAGGGCCACGCTGAGCATCGTAAGATCTCCTCCACCCACTGAATGGGTTGCCTTTTGGGTTCGATTCAATGTTGATCTGAAACCAGGTTCTCCTGTTCCCAGCCCTAGGTTCTGCGCATCAGATCATATCCCAGAATAGTCTGTAACCTGAGCATCCATTGTGTCTTTCTCATCCACTCCCTCCCTGTTCTGGAACCAGCCCATGGAACTGGGTTTGCATTTTTAGCATTGATTATCATCATAATCGACAGGCTCAACTGTTTCAGCCTTGCAGCGCAGCAATAGGGAAAATGTTCCTTTACCTCAACCCTGGGTGGATTTGACTTAAACGGATTGAAATCATGATTTAAATTTTTTTTTAAAAAAGGATTTTTTTTGACTTAAACGGATTGAAATCATGATTTAATTTTTTTTTAAAGGATTTTTTAAAATGAAAAATTCTAACACTGTCAGCCGAGCATGAACCAGACCCAAATTTCATTACAGCAGAAGTACTGCCTTGTCCATTCTGTTTCCATTGGATTCCTGATCTGATGTACAGTGGTACCTTGATTTACGAACATCTCCACTTGCGAACGATTCGAGTTACTAAGGGCTCTGTTCGCAAAAAGTTGCTTCAACTTGCGAATGGAGCCTTGACTTACGAACGAAAAAAAGAAAAAACCTTTCTTGCCCTTTTTTTGATCTAGGTTCATCTTAGGTCAAAAGAAGAAAAAATAAAAAATTTGCCCCCTAATGGTAGATGTGGATTAACTGGCTTTGCATTAGTTCCCATGGGAACTAATGCCTCTACTTATGAACAGCGCCTCGACATATGAACGAAAAACATCCTGAGTGGATTAAATGGTTCTCAGTGCATTCCTATGGAAAAATTTGCCTTGACTTACGAATTTTTTGACGTACAAACGCCGTTCCAACACAGATTAAATTCAAGTCGAGGTACCACTGTAGAAGTGTCGGTCTGCTTTCCAAGCCTAAGTGCCCCTGTTCATATGCAGTTGCGTGTCGTTCAGGGAGCTTTTCCTGACCTGTACTCTCTCACTGTAACTCTGTGGAATGTTGATTTATATAATTATTATTTTGTTTCTCCAAGCATAACAGAAGCAAGGAAACATGTCTTGTGTTTTTCCTCCAAAGACAATCTAGAAGGCCGTGGGACAGCGCATGCCCTAAAAGACTGAGCCAACTTTAATGGCTCAACGTTATTCTTGAGATTGGCATCCCCGACAATCCACGTTTTCATAACCTGGGGATGTAAACTTGGTTTTCTAGAGAGTGCTTCTTGTTGGAGTTTATTGACATTTATCTGTTTGTTTTCAAGATTCTGGAAGTTTCAGCCATTCTGGAGATCAGTCACAGAGGTAGGTATGCTTATGAGTAACTGTTATATGGAACTTGGATAAGATGGGGCTTCTCATGGCAGGTATAATCCATATGGCTCAGTATGTTTCCATAGGTCTCTCGGAGTGCCTGCCCTCCTTTTTATTCTGGTGAGATGTCTGTCTCTCTTGAAATTATGTTTGCTTCAGATTTCCTGTGTATGCTTGAAAACACCATGCCGTCCTGCAGTTTAGTCTCTTTTGAGCTGCCTTCCCATAAAGCAAAGAGAAAATTTATGTTTCCCAAATTTTTTTCTTGTTTCTCTTTTTAATAGCATTTCTGCACCCCTGCATGGTCTCCTGTATCCACACTTCTCTCACTCCAGAGAGGGAGAGGAGGAGATATTTCTGCAACGGGCATCATTCAGTGTGGATTCAAACAAGGGGGCGGCTTGACCAGTAAAACTCAATCGCTCTTCCTGTCTCGCTGTTTTAATAAGACCATCGTTTATTGGGTAGCCCTGACTTGCTGTGAGGGCAACTTGGATTCAGTTGCAAATGATGGGAAGTGTTTTACATGGTTTTACTCGATTGTGAAATATATATACAGAATGACCCCCTTTCCCCCAGGATCACTATCCTCTGATTCACTTAATCATGCTCTTAATAGATTAAAAGAGAGACAAAAAAACAGAAACATGTATTTCCATGATATCATTACCAGAACTGGCCACGAGAGAGAACCAGAGACCATGCTTTTAAAATAGCATCCTTGTTTTTCAGCATCCATGGAGGGCTTTGAATTGCAGATATAGGGGTTCTGCTATACAGCACAAATCAGAACATCAAGAACAAAAAGACTGAACACAGAATTAGCCTTACTGTATCTCTCTGAAGCTGTGCAAATTGGGTAGAAAATTAATCCAGTCTCCCCTGGAGTGTGTTTCTCTGGCATGCTTAGGCATTCTGGTCTCACTTTGTAATAATATTCAGAAGGAGCAGCAAAGCCGTGGAAGAATCTTTTTTGTACCTTACAGACTAACACATTTTGTCTGGCGTAATTATCAGTCCCCCCTCCCTGGTGTTATGCATTGGACGATGGCAGGCTCCCATTCCGTGAAGTCTTGTGCCATGTAGAACATGCTGGTCTCTGGAGGTGGCACAAAATTCGGTTGTTGTTTCTATTTAACAGCATTCTGCCCTCACACAGCTTCCTGTTGGAGCCACTTCTCTCTCTCTCTCAGCAGAGGTGTGTGAATGTGTGCGCGCATTGATGCGTGCAGTTCTGCCTGTTAAGGATTAACATCTAATGTGTCTGAGAAACGGTCTCCAGTTTACAAAAACCGGAGCCACTGCCCATTTCTCCAGCTCAACTGCTGTATCATAGAGAGTAATTTAACTTATCGCTCTGGTATATGGTTTGTCAACTGTACAATGGCAGATAGGAAAATGCACCAGAGGATTATGACAGTGGCCCAGAGGATCACTGGCTACCCTCTTCCCTCTTTGGAAGATCTCTCTAATTCCTACTGTCTTAAGAAAGCCCAACATATTTAAGAACAGTCTTAAGAACAAAGATCCATCACACCCGGGCCATTCCCTCTTTCATCTGGTAGGCAGTACAGGATCATTAAAACACAGGCAAATAGGTTGAAAAACAGTTTCTATCCCAGAACTGCAGCTATATCAAATTCCCCTGTACAGTGGTGCCTCGCTTAGCGACGTTAATCCGTGCAGCAAAAATCGCTGCTAAGCGATTTCGTCGCTAGCGATTTTAAAAAGCCCATAGAAATGTATTGAAACCCCTTCAATGCGTTCCTATGGGCTCAAAAACTAACCTTAAGCGAAAATCCTCCATTGCGGCAGCCATTTTCGGTGCCTCTAAAGCGAGGCAACACAGCGGGTGGCCATTTTGGAACCACCGATCAGCTGGCCGAAAAGGGGGGCTTTGCGATGATTGCAAAGCCCCCATTTTCGCACAGCTGATTGGCGGGGCTTTGCGATGATTGCGGGGAAGTGATCATCCCAAAGCCCCCATTTTCACACAGCTGATCAGCGGGGCTTTGCAATGATCGAGGGGGAGCGATCATCCCAAAGCCCCCATTTTCGCACAGCTGATCGGCGGGGCTTTGCGATGATCGAGAGGAAGCGATCATCCCAAAGCCCCTATTTTCGCACAGCTGATCATTGCAAAGCAAATTTTCTCGCACAGCTGATCATCGCAAAGCGAATTTTCTCGAGTGATCACTATGTGAAGCACCACTGTATAGTGCAATCTTAATGTGTCGTGCAATGGGAAATTGAATGTGAAGGATGTATATGTGAATGGGAATGTGAAGGATGTGGATGTGAATGGGAGGGATGTGTTTCGTGTATAATGTGCTGTGTTTTCATCCTATGGATGCTATGTTCTTGTGTGTTTTATTATTCTGTGTACTGGAGATGGCATTTAATTTCATTGTACAGAAATACAGTGACAATCGACACAATTCAGTTCAGTTCAGTTCCTAATCTTTAACACGCCACAGAAGGCTAGGATCAGGGCCTAAGGTTTCTCTTGCTCTTCTTCAATGGAGGCAGCGCTTAAACGTAACACCTTCTGTCCTGCTTTTGCAGCTACGCGGGTTATGGCAACCAGGGAAACCAAAACTACGGACAGACGCCGCAGGTGAGAGTTCTCAGCTCCTCTTCCGACGCGGGTGATTGGTCTCAGCGAGCACATCGCTTATCATCTTGTCATCGTATCCATGCCCCTAGATAGGGCCGTGGGACCCTTTGTCCTCTAGAGGTTGTTAAACTGGTTTCCCATCTGCCTTTTCCAATCTGACCTGTGGTTGCGGGAGGGACGATGGGGGGTGGTATCCTGCGAAGGGCCATCGTAGGTTCTCCACCTCCCATGAGGATCATCAGATTTGCCTTACGCTTTCTGTAAGATGAGATAAGTATTTTTTTTCCATCTGTTGACCTGGGCTACCCTATCCTTGTCTTGGTCTGGTTTTAAAATAATATGAAACATCACTGAGGGTGTTTGCAAATAGCACTTTCAAGCATTGTGATAAAAAAACACAGTAATTTTCCCTTGAGTGTTTGTACCAACAATTGATAGTAAGTGAGGCAATCAGTTGGTCTTTGTTAGAAATCATTAAATAACATTTACTGATTAAATACGCATAGAATAGGATAAACTTACAGTTGCTTAGACACATTGAAAGTGGTCGTCTAAACTCGAACTTGACATAGTTATGTTTGTATATCATTCTTAAACATTTTGACAGACATAGTCATTCTGACAAATCTCTCATCCTAGCCCCATCATATATTAGACCCTATCAGCTATCATTTTTAATGTGTCTTAATCCCTATCTGGCAGACTGCATTTTCCCTGTCTGGCCCTATCAGTTAACATCAGTCACAAATTTGCCCCTGCCACGCGCCGTGGTCTTTTATGTACACCAACACCCATAGCTGGTGGGCCCACCACCCCTGCTGTATACCTTTGGGGCAGTAGATTGAAACTTTTGGATTTTAACTTTCTCTGTTCTAAACTAGTTGCTTTCATTTGGATTCTTTTGCCCTGACCGTTTGTATGTTGATTTTACCGGCGGTGCAGTTTCAAAGGTCAGCGAACAGGTTTATGCAGCCTGACGCCCCTTTTTGCCCTTTTCCTGTTCATTTCAGGGCTATCCTGGCTACGAGTCGAGCGCAGAGAACTCCTCTTACGGGCAGAGCTATGGAAACTATCAAGGAAGCTACGGACAGACCCAGACAGGTTTGGCTCAGCATGCTGACATTTCTGTACATGTGCACCGCGCGGAGACATCCGTGTCCCTAAAGCGTTCACTGTTGGATCTTCAGGTTACGGCCAAGGCAGCCAACCAGGATACAGCGGATATGAAAGCCAGAATCAGACCTCTTATAACCAAGACTCTTACGGCAACCAGGGGCAGCAGAAAGATTCCTCAGGAGGGTAATGGCTTTACTTCACATGTAAGCAGAAATGGGGCCAGCTGGAGGCATAGATATCCCTGTGTGTTTAAGGGCAATCTTTTCAAAACGGTGAGGCATTGGAAGGGAAAGGGGGGGGCTGGGATTGTGGCGGAGGGAAGGCAGAGAGAGACCTGAGGTCGCTGCAGCTTTGCCTGCTTTTCCTGCCAGTCCAAACTGGAGCCTCTGGAATTGAGGAGGGGGGCTGGATGGATTTGCCTTTGTCTGCTGCAGTGGAGGTTTGAGGAGAAGGGAACTTAGGGAAAGCATAGGAACTGAACTCGTGTCATGTATTCCCAGTAGGGCCCTAGTATCTTGAGGGAATGGGTTCCAATCCCCCCGTGGATGCCAAAAACTGTGGATAATACTTAACTCTATACGTAGCATGGTCTCTGGCTTCCTCTAGTGGTCAGTTCTCGTAATTACGTGACAGAATTATGTATTTCTGTGCTTTTCTTTTAATATTTTAAATATATTCAGACCATTGAGAAATGAAACCGCAGATACCAGTCTTGCAGATATTTGGGGGGTGGGTGTTTCCTACTGTATATCATCACCTGTCCCAGCTCTGACCCCCACCTCTGGCTTTAGCTCTCCTTGGCAGCTTTGTCGTTTGCCAGGCGAACCGCCACCATGACCACCTCTCGCAGATTGTTTTAGAGGTCAAGGCTGCCTTCCCTCGCCTCATCTCCCCCTCCCCATGTAACTGGCTGTTCCAGTGTAGCGCATCTGGAAGGCCTTAGTGCAACAGCTGCTATGTGGGCTTAACATTTGTTGGTTTATACAGTAGGACCCCTGTATCCATGGGGGATTGGTTCCAAACCCACCCATCCCCCCTGGATGTTGAACACAGGATAATAGCAAAATCCGGAAAAAAGTACTTTTTCACGTATTACCAGAACTGGCCACTAGAGGGAGCCAGATCCCATGCTGTTACTCTTTTAACAGCAAGAATACATAGCATGCTCTCTGTCTCCCCCTAGTGGCAAGTCCTGGTGAATACATCATGAACATATGAATTTATCGTGGTTTCCCTTTTACTATTTTCAGACTGTGTGTCAGAGAAACCACAGATACCAATCCCACAGTTACGAGAGTCCTATTGTTTTGGGCCTAGGAAGTGGTCCTTGCTGCACTGGCTACGCTTTCACAAAACATACTAGGATGCCCACGGTTTACCTTTGTCCTTCAGTTTAAGGTCCTCGTATGACCAGAAGCCCAGCTATGGCCAGCCACCTGGTTCCTACGACCAACCCTCGGGCTACAGCCAGCAGCCACGGCCTTTCGACCAGCAGTCCAGCTACAGCCAACAGGGACAGCAGCACGGCTCCTATGATCAGCCGTCGGGCTACAGCCAGAACCGAGGCTCCTATGACCAGCAGCCGCCGCCGCCGCCTCCTCCCCCGTCCCAGGGCTACGGGCAGGCGCAAGGCTCGTACAACCAGAAGTCCAGCTACGGCCAGCAACCCGGGTCCTACAGCCAGAGCCAGCCCTCTTACCAGTCGCAGCAGAAAGACAGCTACGGCCACAACATGCCAGGTGGGTGGGCATTGGGAGGACTATTGAGATGGAAAATAAGAGGGAGCAGGGATGCAGCTCAGGGCTCCGTTGAATGTACTTGCCTGGGTCTGTTTGGATTTACAGTAAGACCCACCCCGTAAACATGGGATTCGTTTCAAGCCCCCCCTGGAGGCCAAAAAACGCAGATCATAGTGAACCCTTAGATGCACATAGCATTTCTCTGGCTCCTTCTAGTGTCCAGTTGTTGTAATGACATCATTAGAAATATATGTTCTCAAGTTTTTCTATTAATATTTTCAGACTGTGGATAAGTGAATCAGATACTGGGGGTGTGTGTTTCCTGTTGTAGTGGGACTTATTTGTCCTGAAAGGACAAGCATTGGTTTCTACCATGAATTGCTTGAAGGTCTTCTAAAGTTCCAGAATAGTGGACTGACGGAGAGAGCTCAGCTGGGGAGCCCATAGTTTAATCATTCCAGATGAGATGTCGCCAAGGGGGTGGGCGGGCTGCGCAGTGGGCTTTCTGTCACTCCAGAGTAACTGCTTCATATTTCATCAGACGACCGCCGGGATAAGAGTAGGTATGGAGAAGATTCCCGAGGCTACGGTGGGCCGCGAGGAGGCGGAAGCAGGTTCGATTCCGACAACCGGGGCCCAATGCCTGGCTTAAGGTAAGAGTCTCTCCTTGGAGCGACACCGTTCACAGTTCAACGGCCTTTCTTTTATGCCTTCTTAGATAGATGCATGTTCTTTCAGATGGTTGAGTTTGGAAGTCAGATTCAAAAGTGGTTACATCTCCCCCCCCCTTTAAATCATCATCATCACCTTTAAACTGCAGAACTAGAAGGGATCTTATGGATGGTCCAGTCCAGCCCCTGTCCAGGAGGGACGGTGGGGAATCAAACTCCCAACCTCTTTCTCCACAGCCAGAGCCCTCAACCACAGAGCTATACCATCACCTATTTTTATTATTTATTCATTTAAAATATTTTGGCCCCAACTTTCTACGTGGAGAGGACCCTCTCCTTCCTCCTTAGAGAGGCTTCTCAAGAAGCTCTGCGGGGTATGTGCATAACATTTATGTCCTTTTAATCTTAGATAGATGCATGTTCTTTCAGATGGTTGAGTTTGGAAGTCAAATTCAAAAGTGGTTACATCTCCCCCCCCTTTTAAAATCATCATCATCATCATCTTTAAACTGCAGAACTGAAAGGGATCTTACTATTTTTATTATTTATTCATTTAAAATATTTTGGCCCCAACTTTCTACGTGGAGAGGACCCTCTCCTTCCTCCTTAGAGAGGCTTCTCAAGAAGCTCTGCGGGGTATGTGCATAACATTTATGTCCTTTTAAAAAGGGGGAAGGTGGTGACTGGGATGGAGGCAGACCCCCTATAGAGGACCTAACGCCCTGGCTGAAAAGAACATTCCTAAAACGAGCAAGGGATTTGGGCATGTCGTTATCTCGGTGCAATTCAATGAGCATGGTACAGCACTCCGAACAGTCTAAGCCTTTGTCGTCTTTTCCCTCTTGTTATCTACAAGAATAGAAGCCCAGATTCTGTAAGAGCAAAAATCAAACTTTCCTATTTTTTTTATTTAGTCATTTAAAATATTTTGGCCCCAACTTTCTCCCTGGAGAGGACTCTCTCCTTCCTCCTTAGAGAGGCTTCTCAGCAAGCTCTGTGGGGTAGGTGCATAACCTTTATGTCCTTTTAAAAAGGGGGGAAGGTGGTGACTAGGATGGAGGAAGACCCTTATAGAGGACCTAACACCCTGGCTGAAAAGAGCATTCCTAAAACAAGCAAGGGATTTGGGCATGTCGTTATCTCGGTGCAATTCAATGAGCATGGTACAGCACTCCGAACAGTCTAAGCCTTTGTCGTCTTTTCCCTCTCGTTATCTGCAAGAATAGAAGCCCAGATTCTGTAACAGCAAAAATCAAAGTTCTTTCTGCGAGAAG